GGCTACAAGATTGCAGTGTTTAAATCCTATTGTTGTTCAGTGTTCAATGCAATTAATTGATATATCTTACTATATTATAACTATGTAGCTGGATCTATGCATCGTTTTTTCATGTTGACTATAGATGATATGATAGCTAACTATTCGTATATAACCAGTGAACTATATTGATAAACATAAAGATATACAACTAAACTGATTATTGTAATGTTTATCTAGTGAACTATATTTTTATTTGAATATCTAACTAACATTTTTACATAGTTAATTACATAATGTTATATAGCGAACTATATTTTTATTGAACAATCGTTTATATAGTGAACTATATTCTTATATCAATATATTTAAATATTATTTTATATATATAGTGAATTATATTTTTATTTAAATAACTAACTAACATTTACATAGTAAAATAACTATCGTTATATAGTAAACTATATTTTTTATTGAAATATTGTTTATATAGTCAACTATATTCTTATATCGATTTATTTAAATATCGTTGTATAGTGAACTATATTTTTATATTGTAATGTGTATATAGTGAATTATATCTTTATTTAATTTTTTTTTTAGGTTTATCCATGTTTATGTAAACTAAGAAACCAATGAATAACCAAATATTTGGAGAAAATTTGTGAAATTTCCATATCATAAGCATCAAATCCATAAAACAATATATGCTAACTAAAAGAAAGTAACTTTTCTTAATAACTTTTGATTTATTGAAACAAATGATGACAATTTTTTATTTATTGATCTTTTCCTTAATAGCTAATGAAATTTTTTGTATTTATTGATACTTTCCTTTATAAATTTCGTAGGGGCAATTTCGTCCAACTATTATTTCTCTCGGCTATGTAACTAAATTCAATTATCAACATGTTAATTTATTAATTGTAACTCCTTGGAATAATATTCAGCTAATTAACCCGTATTACTATAGCTAATTATTGCAGAATCTTTGTTGTATTTCCAAGTGCTGTAAAATTAAGTTTATTTTCGAGTTGATAAGATTATAATTTGTTAAAAGATATTTTGAAACTGGCCCACTAGGAAGAAGCCCAGTAAGCCCAAACAACAACTAGTAGCGATCGATCATTAAAAGAATTAGAGTAACA